GTCAAGGACAGAGTTTGATGACGGAAGTTTCCCGTGCTGCAATGCTCGTCACGGTCCGTTCTGCCCTCTGACGTCACCTGACGTTGGCCGCAACCACTGCCACGGGCCGAAGGTCATTATCTGTCAAGGGTAAGAAAGATACCTAATGAATTACGACACAATGCCACTGCTTGTGCTTTTTCAGTCATAATTAGTTTGATTCAAGTTGCTTCTAACTTACCAGCGCCATCGGTGGTGCACCAGCAATTAGTTTGTGTCTGAACTTACTTTAAACGTTCTCGAAATTTCAGTCTAAAGTGATGGAAAACGCGGGCGGATGGGCAATGGGTGGAAACATGTCATTAGAAAAAGTAGCGAGTGGGTCTGGACACAGCTCCACGGGTGGCGTCCCACCCGTCACGGCCTCTAGTCCTCATCGACCGCCGCGGGCAGGGCGGGGACGGGCAGGGGGAGGGGGCGTGCGAACGAAATGAGAGGGCCTCCCCGGCCGACTGGGACGTCTCTGCCGTTTGGCATCGGAGGCGACGACGACGTGGCGTGCCGAGGGCCGCGGCGCCGGGCCAGTTTGCCCGGTCGATCGGGCTGACTGATTGCCGCAGCCCCGATGGCGCCATCGGTGTTGTGGCCGGCGGCGTCACGGCGGCACGGGTCAGCGGCCGCCCGGCCAGCGCCGCCACACCGCGACGCTGGTGAGGCCGGCTCGGGCCGCCACACCGCGACGCTGGCGAGGCCGGCTCGCGGACCGCCACACCGCGACGCTGGCGAGGCCGGCTCGCGGACCGCCACACCGCGACGCTGGTGAGGCCGGCTCGCGGACCGCCACACCGCGACGCTAGTGAGGCCGGCTCGCGGACCGCCACACCGCGACGCTGGTGAGGCGGCTTGCGGGCCGCCACATCGTGAGAGACCCTGATTACCGGTGATGTCGATCTGACGCAACAGTAGCTGTTTTGGTACCTTTGAAATAAAGCAGTACAGCCAACGCATCGTTGGAATGCATACGGAATTAGTCTGGGCAATGTACCAGCTCACCAGCCGTGCCACATTACAATATGGCATTATGGAGATGAGTATCGCGCTTTTTGTGGACTTTCGACAATCGTACCGGCACAACGTCGAATGCTATGCGCCATTAAATGAGGTGTGTGGACTTGGTCAGAGCATCGTGAGTTAGCTTATTCCTTGAACGGTGGCAAACAGAAACACCGCTGTGAGTAGTGGTCTTGTTGCGTAACTTCACTTCACGGTATGCTGATGGCTTTGAAATTACTGCGCCTTTCATTTGCATCTGAATGAGAGTCGAAAGTGTTGGTTTATTCCTCAGAAGGAATGATCTTGCTGCAGTGGAATAAACTGATAACTAATTTAGGTAAATGGCTGACGATGACTAAAGACACTTTGTCGGACAAATCGTAGTTATTCCAGCTGCTATGCTGCGACTGGCGAGCACAGCTGGTACCCCCGGCACGGCATTGGGCACCGCCGCTTACTGTCAAACTCTTAGTAGGGCCACTGGCCTTCCTTAGGCTCCGCGTCACGCCAGCTTCCGTCATGGCTGGATGGCTCATGTTTGACAATGCTGAACTGCAGCTTGCAGTCCAGCATGCTGCAGTCCTGCTCAGTCGTTGCCAGTCTGCAGCGACTGAATAGGCGACGCCATGACAAGGCGGATCAGAACAGCGTGGAACACAATGCTGCAAACGTTATTTGGGTGGAAAAAGCGTTGTGAGACATTCAATTCAGCTTCGTTCGCCCGCCCCGATCACAAGATATTGCCTACAGCTTTGGCGTGGTCGGTGTGTGCTTCTCAGTCTTGATGCTTTTTATCAGTGTAGCACACGAATGGTGCTCGTTGCGGAACTACATTTTTCAAGTAGCCCCATTGATTGAGTCACTCGCTGTCACAAACAGCTAACAAAAGACAGTTTTATAAAGAAATTTATATTTTTTTCCTGTATACAACAGTATATTTCTGGCATCGTGCTGGAATTACAACAGGTGTATGCTAAGCGATGCACTCGCTCACACTGGTGTGAAGCCAACCAGCTAGAGACCTTTACGGATATGGCTTCCTTTACCCAATCCACCGCTATCCATGGGGACGTTGCCCGTATGTGGCTAACCATGTGTCCGCATGCGGCTAACCATGTGTCCGTGTGTGGCTACCATGTGTCCGTATGTGGCTAACCATGGGCCTGGGGGTGCCCCACGCGCCATCCACTCATAATCAGCTGTTTGCATCCATTAACCACTCGTTGTTGATCTAAATGATGGTGATTTTTAGGAAAGGCTACATTCATACTTTCTCCTTTTACGTTGATAGTATAGAAGTAGAGTGCGTGGAGCTCATCACGCCTAAAAAACAACCCAAGCAATAAAACTGTCGTATTTCTTGAAGCATCGACCGCCACAATCATAAGCGTCTTACCGATACCCGTACCCATACCCGGGTTTTTCCAAAGTCTATACACAGGTCAACCCGTCACCCACTCTATACGGGTACCCATAGATTTTCCCAACCGGCGCAGTCTTCTACTACCAGCAGATGCCGTGTAAATAGGAGCCTCAGCAGCCCGGTCACTTGACGGGCCCATTATCGAGCTCGGCATCGGTCGACGGGCGTCTGGCTGGCGCCCACACCGGCCGCGGCCGTCAGCATAGCACAGCGGAATCCATGTCCGGTGATGACGTCACCGTCCGGAGGCGCTCCCGGTGCCGGGGCGGCGGCGGCGGCGGCGGCGGCCCGCCCTCCATTCAGTCCGGCCGGCCGACCGGTTAACCGCGCCGTCCTCGCGCGGCCCGTCGCTGGGCCGCGTTGATGGAGCCGGCGCGGCGGCCTCTTCACGGCCGGATTACGCGGTCAGAATGGGAGGAGAGAAGTCGGCCGGATTAGCCGTCAGAAAGAGAGGAGTGGCGGTTGGCCGGCGGCGCTCTTTGATCGGCACCAGGCGCGCCGCCCCGGTGGAGCGACGTGGCGGCCTTGTGCGGACCGGCGGCACGCTTTGCGCTGCCACCACCACCATTGGCCGGTGTAAAAACATTGCTCGGTCTCAATTTTGCCAGCCCCCCCCCCTTTCAGGCAGATGACGGTTAATCATCAGGCAAAAAGTAGTCCAAGGGCAGTCAAAATGTCACCGCGCGATTATCAAAATGTCGTCGAAAATACGGGGCGGAACCAGGAAACGTCTTTGAGCGTGCTGTCTGCCTTTGAAAGAGGGTGGGGGTCGCTCTGCCGTGATTAATTTCGTTATTGATCCTCGACCTCGTCAAATGGGAACATCCGGTTTTCCGCCCCCATGACTGTGGATCTGAGCCGTATGCCACTTCGTCATTTTCCTTAAAGCTAACCTGCCAATAAACTGATACCAACTGCTTGGATGTCCAAAGCTGCCAGGCCATCCATTTCAATTTAGTACGGCGGCGTCTGTCCCTCGCTCATTCGATTGTCTCAGGCTTTGCTGCTTCGTTAGTTAGGTGCTCGGGACTTAGTTCCTGGTACTCTGGTCAGACGCTGGCATATGCAGCGAAAGCGCATTTCGTCCCGCCTAAATCACCGCACAACATTTTTGTCCCCGTAGTTGGGTACAGCTTTAAATGGTGATTTGCGATTCAATTCGCGCATGGATATCAGCATGTCGTCTGTACGTTATGTCATAATTATGACATATGATGGGTTTGGCAGTCGTTGCAGGTTACTGACACATCAATCTTTGTTCGAAGTACCGCTTTGAACCAATTAATCCATTACTTGAAATAAATGATCCAAATCTAATTTTGTTCTTGGCGTTTCAGGCCATCTCCACTTAACAATAATGGCAAAAGAATGCAGGCTCAAGAAATATTGTATAATGGCTTTCGCTAATGGAACCAGCCATGAATAAAAACATCAAGGGCACATTTCTACGGGTCTTGACATATGAAGCTTTACATTAGCTCCGCCGTAAAGTTTCGATTTAAGTCAGATTCTTGCTGCAAACATGTAGATGCAGCGCAAATCGTGCAATCATCTTGTTTCTCAGAGGGGCTGAAATTAACTCAGAGTAGATGTTAAATCGTATGCGACATTCAAACAAAACGATGCTCTCATTTCAAAATATTATCCAACCAAAACTTCAATTTTGGGCATCAAATGTTTAGAGCAGCCTTAAAGCACTTAGTGGCAGAACCCCAAAGGCCCAGAGGCGTACATGCGGTTGGGACGGCGCCGGACAAAACTGCGTTTCCATTCGAATTAAAGGCGTGGTCATAGAGCCCCTCAACTTGATGGAACAGCCGGCTCCAACTAGTTCACGGATACATCATATCTGCCCACTTAAATAGAGCCGCCAATAAAACGGCATCACGCGCGGCCGCGCCCACACCTCTTCCAAGTCGCTGCCTTACCAGCCTGGTGTCGCCTTTGCAGAGGGCTGGGGCCCCAAGCCGAACGAGACGTACACAGAGGTGGTGCCGTCGCTGGTGCCGGGCGCGGACGCCGCGGCCGCCCATCGCGGCCGACGGCGACGACAGCTACGTGTTCCCCGACACGGACGGCAACTGCCCGCGCGACGAGGACGCAGCCAAGTTCCAGGGTAAGGTAGGGACCGAGGTGCTCGGTCAGTCGGCCGAGCCAGGCCTCAAGGCCAGGTCAAGACTGAAGACCAAATCAGGTCAGTTCCAAAGGTTCAAGCTAGGCTTCCAGGTCAGGGCAGATCCCGAGGCTGAACCAGGTCCCAAAGCTAGGTCAGATCCCAAGATAAGTTCAGGTCTCAACACCAGCTGAGGGTCCCATGGCCAAGTCAGGGTCTCAAGGCCAAAAATAGGTCAAGTTCCAAGATCAAGTCAGTTTAAAGGTTAGGTCAGGCCTCAATATCAGGTCAGGTCTCAGGTCACGACAGGTCTCAAGGTCAGGTCAGTTGGCGAGGAGCTGGAGATTCGGAAAGCCGGGCGAAGTCGCTCCGGGTCCGCTCGGCAACCGCGCCAGGTATGTACAAAGGCCAGGTGAGACGGCCGAGCCGGGTCTCAGGGTCAGGTCAGGCAACCACGTCAGTTGCCAGGGCCTGCACGCTCGCCTGGCCCAGTCTCAGGGCCAGGTTAGTCCGTCGGCGGGGTGGGCGAAGCCACTTCGCTGCGCCGGGTCTTGGGGTCAGACTGGTAAGCTTTCTTGGACCTGAAAACCAATCAGCTGCGTTCGTTACCAAGGGCAGCCATCCTCCTGGGCCTCAAGGGCAAAACAAATGGCGGGGTCATGATGCCAATGTCAAAGGGCCGCGTCAGGCCCTCGTGCCATTTCCAGTTGTCAAGGCAAGTTTATCAGCCTCAGCAGGTCGCCAAACCAGGATTGTCTGGTCCAGTCCGCTTAAACTGGTGAGTCTGGCCTGGTCTGATTTGTTGGATGATGCCGCACACTACGCTCATTTGTAAGAGATCCTGCCAATCTTATGGACAAAGGAACACCGCTAAACAAAATGCTACCGGATAGGCCCAATGTATGATAAGCACCATGATCTGCTTCCGACGATATCACAAGAGGCAGTGGAGCACTTCTTCAAAAGCCTGTCCAATTTAGCGTAAATGGCGGTTGTGCTGACATGACATGAAAAAAACACTAAGGAGACGAGAGGAGATTTTTGGAAGAGTAAGGAAAGTGAAGGAGCTTTTCACTGTTCAGCGTCCCAACTCATTTTGCCAATTTGCCGTCCTGCGCCAAAACTGTCTGCTCTCCTTCTCATTCCGCGTTTAGCTAGCATTTGATGGTGCTTGCCACAATTTCAAAGCATTATCACGAACCGAAAGCTTGTTAAGCTGTCGAAACGTGAAGCAGCTGGGCAACGGATTTCTTACAAATCTACTCACACCGGTGCCAGATCTGGTCACAACAGTTGAACCGCCGACTCTAGGCCTACGAAGACTTATGATTTGCAGGGAAGCGGTTAAATTTGTGATATCACTATATGATATTGTCCCGGAGTAGTGACAACAATGAAATCAGCGCTTGTTCAAACAGCCAATTCAACTCCCATGACACAACATTTCAAGTTTCTTAACATTTTAAGTTTTTATGCCCATTTCAAAGAAGACACAGCTTAAGTTTCCATGCACAGTCCATGAAGTTCAACCAGGTTTTCTCGAGCGCTTGTGAAAAGCATGCAAAAAGCTTAAAATGGGGCGAGTACCCCGTTCTGTCTCTCGTAAACACGCCACTGCTGACTCATATGACTACGAACCACGCATATAGGATACCCTAGAGAGGCAGCCTTGTGTGGTACGCGGCGAGTGAGCCGTTCACAGAGGTGAGAGCCATCAGCTGTCATCACGTAAGAGATGTAAAAGACAAAGCGAATGGGGCAGGCGCCTTTGACAGCACATAGCAGGGATCGACCAATTTGTTGGAAAGTCTGGCTTCCATGCGAATTCAGTGAGCGGAGGTCTACTGTCGTCCACTTATGCAGTACTCACCCACTTATTCACAAAAAGAATTGCCTGCAGATTGTCGGCTGTGACTACGATCCTCCCTGACGCCTACAGCAGACATCGTTGATTTTTAAACATAATGGTTTGGCAATTCTGGCCAAAGGATTTCGAAAAACTCAACTGATTAAGATGGATATAAGTCGCAATGTGCAGGACTGGATTCCAATGTCAACTTCGCCTCCCAATTTTTACGCTGTAGGTCTCGGCGCCTCATATTTTACATCAGTTTCGGAAAAGGTGACATTGGCAGTTTGCTGCCGATTACTGACATTTCTACGGATCGGGAACTTTGAGACCTGTCAGTGAGCTGTAGTGAGTGTATTCCCCTACATCTTGCAGGCTGGATCACGCCTTCGTCTGTTCTTCTGCCTGCTCATCTGTGGCATAAGTCTTTAAAAAACGCCCTAAAACGTGCGGATCCGTGGTGTGTGCAGGAGAGTCGCACGACAGCGCGCACACATAGCCACACTTGTACCGGGCGCCTATTTTCTTCTCCGTCAGAACCTGTTATTTTCGTGTCGCTGTGGCGCCAAGTCGCTGAGATCTGACTTCGTTCCGACTAGTACTTCTCAGCCTTCCCTGAAACTGGAAAACTTAACGTCCTCTGCGTTCATTGCACGGGGAAGTGGATTTGTAGCGGTGTTACGTTGTTGCCGCGAAATCTGCATGACTGATTCGGCTGGACATAAATCCCTACCGACCGAAAAGATGCATCTTGAAAGCAAGCCTTCGGAGAACGACTGCGGCGGATGATCTCACAAGTGTCTGCCGGGCGCGGTGTTGACCAGGACAGCAATATAGTCCGAGCGGGCGTGGCCGCCGCGCCTCAGTGTGGCCCTCTGCTGCGCCAGAGTGTCAGTCACGCCGTCACTCTTGCCACAGGGCCGCGTGTGCATGAAGAAGTGTGAGACCGACGCCAACTGCCTCAGCGCCAACCGCAAGTGCGTCTGCGACGGCGTCTGCGGAATGTCCTGCGTGAAACAGGGTGGGTTCACAGCTGCTGGCCGCGTGTCTAATGGCGTGTTTAAAGCATGTTTGATTCTTATT